CAGGACAGGCTCAGCACATGTTTGTTGGATTGACTTGAGGCTCTGTCTTGTGACCAAATTGTGGGGGCTGGGGTTGGTTGGGACCAGAATTCAGTAAACTAAGCAATGCAGGCTTTAGAATGGAAAGATTTTAGCTAATCCTTCTGAGAAAACAAAAACGGATCTGCCCTAGGTGAGGCTGAGAGCCAGCCGGTAAGAGGATTGGCTGTGAGATGGGGGTATCAGTAGTTCTTGAAGGCCGGGGTGTGGGGGGTGTTTACTGGTTGTCAGGCACTGTGGTAAGTGCTTTACACACATTGTTTCATTTAATCGTCACAATGGCCCTATGAGGCAGGTGCTATACTTCTCCCCATTTTACAGGTAAGGAAATTGAGGTCCAGGGAAGTTAAGCAGTGGCTGGGAAAGGCTCAGCATGGCACTTGGCAGACCAGGGCTGGACAGGAGCTATGCCTCCAGATGGTAGGCATGGGGCAGTGAAGAAGGGAGTGTGAGACCCTGTCTTAGGGAGTTAGGTTATGTGGCAGCCCCATGCACGTGCAACTCGGATTTAGCTGTCGGGTGTCCTTGCAGCATGCTGCAGCCTGGTCTGGTCTAGGTGGGATTCTGTGAAGCTCAGGAGCTTCCCCTGGTGTGGAGGAGCCCAGCAGCGCCATAGGGGTCCTGAGAGGCAGGGAAGCAGCAGGACCTTGTCCTGGCAGTTTTTACAGATGAGCTTATTCACTTTAAAAAGTATTAAGGCAGCCCTGGTCAGTGTGGCTCAGTCGGGCATCGTCACGTGCACCAAAAGGTTGTTGGTTTGATTCCTAGTCAAGGCACATGCTAGGGGGTGTGCAGGAGGCAGCTGATCAATGTTTCACTCTCTCCCTCTCTCTCCAAAACCACCACCACAAAACATATAAGGCAGCCTTAGCAGTCTGGTGGGCCATCAGGTGGAGGAGTGGAAAATAAAATAGGAAGAGCCTTTGAGCAAAAGGAGTGAGCACAGGCCTAGGGAAGAGGCAGCTGGGGCTGTGCCAGCACTTCTCATGAGGGGGTGTGTCAAAGGTAGGTCAGCTGGAAGGCTGCTCCGACATCATCCAGCCTGTCCTCTCACGCAGCGGTGACACTGTCCATGGGAGGATACGTGTTCCCCACGCTGTTACACGGAGCAGGGGACTTAGAGCCTGCGTTAGTCAGGGAGTGTCCTGGAGGGGGTAGGGAAGGGTGCTTGCTGTGGGCCTGCTCTGCTATCAGCTATAGTGGCGCCATTTGAGTTGCCATAGGGGCATTGCCCCGAGCCTTTCTATGTTACTTTACTCGTCTGTAAAATGGGGATGATAGTGACATTGGTCTCAGAGGGCACTTGTGAGGATTAAATGAGATAGTCCGTGTGAGGTTGGAGTGCAGTGCCTGGCATATAGTAAGCGCTCAGTAAACGCCAGCTTATTGCCACTATTCTGGCAATCTTCAGAGAAAGAAAGAACACTCTGCCCTGGGTGGCTTAGAACAGCGATTTTTTTTTTTTAATACATCAGAAAATAATCTTAGATTGTTATTCAGGAAAGAATCTCAGAGAGTGGCCAGAGTATAGTTGGAATAAGCCGGGTCAATATCATTTTATTTTGGGAAAAGGAAGACAGTGCCGAATGTTGATGAGATGCAGTCTGTAGCCCAGTAGCTTGCGGGGCATGGGATACAGGACAGACATGGTTCCCCTCATCTGAGGTCGGCAGCCCCACAGAAGGGAAGCTAGGGCCACCTCCTTGTTTTACCGGTGGTGTATGTGAGGGCCTCCGTGAGGCAGGCCGGGGATGGACGCTTTAGAGGACAGGAACCGTGAAACCACGGAGGGATTTATCAGGGCTGCGTTGTGCCTTACATTGGTTGGCCGGGGTCAACAGCGTGGAGAGGGCTGAACATGGGGTGGCCTGGAAGACAGACTGTCCGTTGCAGAGCTGGCTGCCTGTTTAAAAGATTCCTTCCAGTTCTTGAGCACCCAGGAGGAGGGGACAGGAGCCAGGTTCCGCTACAGCCCTGGTGCCTGCTGGACAGACCTGCAATGGGCTGCCAGCTCCCACCGCCTGGCTGGGTTGGAGGGTTCTGCCCATCTTTTGGGGGTTGGTAATGGTGGGAAGCAGGCTCTAGTGGCCCTGGGAGACCTGATACTGGCCATGCTTTCTAGGATCTTTGTGGTCCTTGATCACCTTCGATACTAAAGCCAAACGAAGCTCCACTGTCATTCCCTTGTCTCCATGGAACCTTCAAGGAGGCAACCCCTTTGAGGGGCCCTGGCTCCAGCATCTATCCTATTGCAGGTGGCCCTAAGATAACAATAATACCTATGTTCATTGAGCACTTGTGCCGGGCAACATGCTGAGCATATTTTCATGTAAATGTTATGAAAGTCCCCAAAGTAGTTCTGTTATTTATTCCATGTAACTGATGGGTAAATGGAGGCCCTGAGGAGGTTAAGTAACCTGCCCCAGGTCACATAGCTAGGAAGCCATTGGGCCGGGATGTGAATTGTGCCAGAGGTACCAATAGATGCCTCATAAGAGAAACTTTGGGGAACAGCTGCCCTGTCAGTCTCCCCTATTCTGCCTTGCCCCTCTAGCTCCAGGAGCTTCTGAGCACTGAGCTAACAGGAGGGGCCTGCCCACCCCCAGCCCTGACGAAGTGGGCTCAGCCTCCAGGGGAACAGAGGCAGCCTTGTGGTAGAGCTCTCCCCACTCTGCCAACTCCCAGCGCCCCCCCCTTCCTTGGCTGGTTCTGTTTTAACATTAACACCCAGAGCAGCACATTCCATTCTCTGGCACAACTGGGGGCTGGGGACTCTGGATTCCCCTGGCTGCTGCTCTTCAGGGCCCCAGTAGAGCCTGCTGTCTGGGTTGGGACACTGGGTCTCAGCCACACACATTCCAGGAGCAACCACCCCCCACGTTGTATTTCCCAAGGAGTGAACTTTAGCTAGGATTACAGCCGACTAAACAGTTGTGGGATGTGAGCTTCCTTTGTGGGACCCAGGAGGCTGAATGCTGACGGGGCTGAGAAGGGAATGGGGGTCATGGTGGGCTGCTCTGGGAGTCCCAAGAAAAGCCACAGTCTGAGGCTGGCTCCTCTGCTGCTGTCGGGGCTCTTGGAGTGGGATTGGAGCAGGGCTCCCAGTTATCTTCCTATGAAGCAGGGGTGGGGTGGGGTGGCAGAAGCCTGGCTGCCTGTATCCCTTTGGCCTGTCCTTGGCTCAGATCCTAGCACTACCACCATGTACAAGCTGTGTGACCTTCAACAAATTTCTTAACCTCTCTGAGCCACCTTATTAAAATGGGATAATAATAGTACCTACTTCAAAGGGCTGTTGGGAAGCTTACATTAGAATGTTAAGATGCTTTAAGTAGTGCCTGCCACCCAGCATAGGCTTGACACTTATTGATTACTGGTATTATATGTCTCTCCCCTATATTGGGGATATTTTTCCTGAAGCAGAAGTCCAAATGTAGCTTCCACTCCCCTTCTGAAAGCGACGGTTCTGGCTTTTAGATAAGCTCTTCCTGTCTTTTCCCTGCCTTCCTATCTGTAGTGGTTTCTTAGTTGATTAATAAGTCAGTTAGGGATTTATTGAGCACATATCATATGCAGGCCTGTGGTAAAAAACTACCTACCATTTAATGAACATCTTCTAATGCTGGGCATTGTTTCCAGGTACTCTTTTCTCTAAATATATTTTTATTGATTTCAGAGAGGAAGGGAGAAGGAGAGAGATAGAAACATCAGTGATGAGAGGGAATCGTTGATCGACTGCCTCCTGTATGCCCCCCACTGGAAATCAAGCCCACAACCTGGGCATGTGCCCTGACCAGGAATTGAACCGTGATCTCCTGGTTCATAGGTCTATGATCAACCACTGAGCCAGCCATACAATTTTCCACTTAACACTCAGCTACCTTGTGAAATAGACATGATGACTCTATTTTACATCTGAGCCATGTTCTCAGTGTCACATAGCCACTAAGTCAAAGGATTGGACACCAGAACTGGGCTTTGCTACCTCTTCTCACCTGATTTTGAGTGTTTAGCCCCACCCTTCCTATTCTCTCTCAGAACTCTGAGTGTGCCCAGCTGAAACATTTGACTTCTCTGGGCCATGTGACTTCTGGCTGGTGAGCTAGAAGTGGAAATCTACCATGTGGGATGTGTTGGGAAATTACTGTTTCCCTGATCAAAAAGGCCAGAGACAGCTGACACGCTGCTTTTGCTATTAGCACTTCCCCACCTTGCTGCCCGATTGTGGCCAAGAAGTTGGGAGGAGGCACCATTTTGTAACCATGAGCACAAAAGCCACCCTTGGGCAGAACAGGAAGACAGACTAGTCTGGGACACGGACCCTTCCCTGCTCGTCTCCAGAGCTCTAGTGTGCAGAAGCCCCCGTTTCTTGGCGTTGCTGTTCCACACAGTCAGATGCAGCTCTTCATGGTACACAGCCCAGATGCTTGCTGGGCTGACTCCAGACCGGCCAGGAGGGAGCCACCAGGAGGGAGCGCCGTGCCTGAGGAAATGAAGGGTGGGCTCCAGGGCCTCCCTGGTCTCTGGGAGGATCTTTCTTGGTCCCAGGGAAGATCCTGCCAGGGGACAGAACTGGCGTGTAGAGCAGGCCTGACCCCTTTGTGGGGGTTGGGTGAGAAGGGCTTTGCTGGGCTGGGCTAAGGGAGCTCTCCCCGCCTGCTCCCTCATGGCTGCCAGCACCTGACAGAGGTCAGTATTGTGCTCCAGCCAGAAGAGGCCCAGTCCTGTAGGTTCAGTGGAAAAATCATCCCTGGTCCTGGTTGACCATGGAAGTGTCCGTAAACATTTGGTCAGGGTAGGAGGCTGGGAGACAAGGGGCGGATTCAGGGAGCCAGGTGGGCCGGCGGGGCTGGGCGAGGGTGGGTGGTGGTGGCTTCCTCGGAGGTGAGGAGAAACAAGCGGCCTCTGCTGCTCCTGACCTGTGGGGAGGCCACCTGACGGCCGGAGCTGATTTATGGGCAGGCTGTCAGACCACCTGTTAGCTCGCACTGTCCACAGCAGAAGGTGGGCCCTCCGGCCTCCTCAGGTCTCTGAGAGCCGAGGGAGCCAAGGTTGGTCTCATCTTGGGAGAACATGCCTCATTGTCTTGGAGGAGCAGCGGGCCGTGACTGGGTTCGGCATTCCAGCTGTACCTTCACTGGTGAGGGGAGCCCCTCTGGGGGTGTCCCCCGCTCCCTGCTCTGGGCACATCTGCCCTGCCCCTCAGTCTCTGCTGGTGGATGCTCCTAGCAGAGGTGGACACCACCTCTTCCAAATGCTGGACATTTGACTGGCAATAGCCTGTTGCCTCCACTTCAAGGCTTGTCCCCTCCCTGCCCCTCAGGGAGCAGCCTCCATCTGCACCGGGCTCACTGAAGAAGCCCCTCGGGCATCCTAGCTGGTCCCCTCCATGCATGCAGGCCCAGTGCCCTCCTCCTGCCTCAGCTGTGGGCTTATCTGGATACCTAGATGGAGTGTCTCACCTGGGCTGCACATCACCCCAGCGAGCATGGAGGAATGCTGATTTCTGAACAGCCTCCAGAGATTTGGAAATAATTGCTTTAGAGCGAGGTCCAGTGTTTCGTGGGAAGTGGGGCCTGAGCGTCTACTTCATGCTGATGTTCTGGTCCAGGGACCACACTGAGAGACCACCATTCTGCACCCTCATCTCCACGTCAGGGCCAGTGTGCAGTGGTGTCTGTGTGCAGAGAGTGTAGGAGCAGCACGTGCAGGCCTCTGGCTCCTCCAAGTAGCTCCGTGGCCCAGCCTCTTGGCTCCTCGAAGGAGGCATTGCCCGAGGGAGGGAGACTGTTCAGGACTGTGGGAGCCTTCTGACCGTGGGAGGAGGCTGGGGAACTTAGCTGACCTCAGAGACAAAAGATGGCCAGCTCCGTCCCCCATTGGTGGGGATGATTGGGGTGACCCTTGTGTGTGCTCTTGGGGGATCCTGCACAAGCATGGACATTGCTCTTAGGCATTCTGAGTATGTCTGTGTGGACAGGCCGTGGGCTATGACAAGGGCCTCTTTCTAAAAGTCCTTTCTGAACCTCCCTCTCCCTAGCTCTGGGGAACCGCCTGACAGAGAAACCACCTGGTCAAAACCAACTGTTGTTTTCTTTGATTTAATTAAAAACTTAAAAAAACAAACCATTAAACACCAAACCCTACCTGCATCAGTCTACCTGTGGCCTCACAGCAGTAGCAATAAGTTACTCGTCAAGATAAAGGGGACATGCAGGGGCTGAGGAATGAACCCCAAGAAGCGAGCTTATGGGAGGGGATCTAGGCAGGGCTTCTCTCCAGTCTAGGGGGAAGGGACCTGGCAGAGATGAGGACAGTAGGGAGGTGTGGCTGGAGGGCACTGTGACCCTAGTGCCTTTGGGGGCTACGAGAGGACACATGGAGGGGCAGTGAGGGTGGAGAACTTCCTCCAAGTAGTTCAGCCTCATATCCAGACTCCCCTCTCCAAAGCGAGGCCCCCCTACCCCTCCCCCAGCAGAGGGGAGCTGCACCATGGTCCCCTACAGAAACCGCCTCGGCTGCGCATAGCCCCTCTACCCTTCCCTCCGTCTCTCCTCCCTGCCTACTTTTTGAGACCCCGGGGGTTTCCCCTCAAAAGAAAAAGACTTTTAAGAGAGGAAGCTCCCAGATACCCCAAAAGCCCTCAGTCAAGGACAGCTTGAGCTCCATGCCCATCCCTCAGGGCCTGTGCTGGCACTCAGGGCAGGAGGTGACAATGTGCCCCAGGGCAGGGACGGGGCAAGGCACAGCTGCGAGGGCCCCTTCAGTGGGGCTCAGCAGCCCCGTAGAAGAAGGGGTAGTAGAGGGAGCAGGGGTAGGAGAACATGAATTTGACAGCGAACTTCATCTCCTTATTCTTCTTGTCCCAGCGGTAGACGGCCATGAGCAGCAGCTGTCCGTCCACCTTGCGGCCCATGACCAGGAAGCTGCCGGCCAGGCTGTCCAGTTGTGGGCAGGGGCAGCCCGCACCATTCTTCATGTGCAGGACCAGCCGCTTGGTGTCCTTGCGCTTCAGGGGGCCCGGCTTGAGCAGCTTCTTCTTTTTCTGGGCTCCGATCAGCTTCCGGTCCCCATTCTCTATCTTGATCTCCTTGATGCGCATTTTGACCACTGTGTATGGGAGTGGACAGAGGACAGCATGAGAATGGTCAGGTTTGCTCAGGATGCTGGTGGCCCCACTGCTGGTGCTCGTGCCTGAGGCTTCAGGGTGGAGCAATACACACACATTTTCATGTTTATGAAGCTCCTATCATGTGTTGGACTTTCACGGACATTATCACATTGAATCCTGGAGGTGTGGGTAGTAGGGAGAAATAAGATTTGCAGAGGTTGTAAGCTGCCCTGATTCTAGAGCAGCCGTGGGCAAACTACCGCCCATGGGCTGGATCCGGCCCGTTTGAAATGAATAAAACTAAAAAAAAAAGACCGTACCCTTTTATGTAATGATGTTTACTTTGAATTTATATTAGTTCACACAAACACTCCATCCATGCTTTTGTTCCGGCCCTCCGGTCCAGTTTAAGAACCCATTGTGGCCCTCGAGTCAAAAAGTTTGCCCACCCCTGTGCTAGAGCCTGGATCGAGGGAGGTCTGGTCGACCCAAATCCACACCTTTTCCAATACGAAGTGCACAGTGAGCTCTCGCTGGGGCGCGGGGTTGGGCTGTCCAGGGAGGAAATATTGGAGGTGTGGTGACCAATTGGAGGGCTTGGTGGGGAGGGGTCCTTGAGATGGAGGGAGGCTGGACTTCATGTTCTCTGGGGATGTTTCTGAATGGGATTTCTGGTTCTGTGTGTGTGTGTGTGTGTGTGTGTGTGTGTGGTGTGGAGTGTATGTGGTGGGTATGAGTCAGTGTGTGTGTGTTTGAGTCCACATGGCGTGAATGTGGGCTGCTAAGTGTTTGACAGTTGGCTCTGGGGAGGGGCCTGTCCTGTATCCTTCACCGGTTTCCGTGGGGTAAATACCCCTCTATGATGCACCGCATCACTGAGTACAAGGCTGGGAAGCGCAGCACACAACCAGCTCTCGCTGGTGTGAACACACCACTGTAACCTGCGTGAGACTGTGTAGTGTGGGTGGGAGTGTGTGTGTGTGGTGCTGTGTGCTTTGTGTATATGAGAGTCGGGTGTGGTGTGTGGGAATGTGAGAGAGTGGGGGGGGGGGCGCGGGAGGGTTGTGGTAGAAGAAGAGGTGGTCAGAGAGTGTCCAGGGCACTCCAAGGTGACCACAGAGAGCCTAACAGTTGGGAATAGGGAGTCCTGAGCTTGGGGAGGGGTCACTTGGGCTAGTCTCCCCTCCCTTCTTCAGGCCTCTGGGCCCCATCTCTGAGCATCCAGGGAGAAGCCAGAGAACTACTTTTCCACCCAGGGAAGGAAATTGTTACAAAACCTCTTCGCTTCTCTTCCTCCCTCTCCCTCACCTCCTCATTTTCTCTCTTGAACACACACACCTACCTTGTGATAGAATAGTGATATTCTCTTTCCAAACAGACTAGCAACATGAGAGACCTGCTGACATAAGGATTTCATCCCCCCCCCCCCCACACACACACCTCTCTCTCTCTCTCTCTCTCTCTCTCTCTCATGGACAGGGAGGCCAAGACACCAAACAGGAGCCGACTTGGCAAAGATCACAAGCCGGACTGTGTGGTCCATGCAGGAGCCAGGGCCTGACTGGACTTGACTCAGCTGCCCAGTAGTGGGGAGGCTCCAGGATGAAGCTGTGGGGCAGGTGACCACAGCGCCCCTGGCCAGAGTACATCGGGTCCTCAGAAGAGGACCCCAGGGACAAGGGGGCTGCACTTCTGTTCCGGAGCCCATTCCTCCCACCTGCTGCCCCCATCCATCTCAGGGCTAAGCCTGCTCCCCACACAGAGAACCCAGCCCTGGAGGCCCCTCTGTGGATGGTGCCAAGCGAGGGCTGCAGGAGCCCTGGCCAGGGATGGCTTCTGGGGCCTGAGGACCATGGCCGGAAGCCCCTGAGATGATACTAAAAAAGGGGCATTTCTCTGGGGAGAGGGTTCATGGTTATCATCAGTCTAAATGGGGTCCATAAGGCAAAAAACTTAGGGTTCACAGTGATGGGTGTGGACACATGTGTTCATATGTGTGCATGTCGAGGAGGAGGGGCTGGGGTGGCTGCGTGGGCTCCACACTCACCGAAGTCACTGGAGCACATCTGCTCCATGAGGCCGTCCGCGTTGTGCTCCATCTCACACTGGGCGCAGATCTTGGTCACTGAAGAGAGAAGCAAGGGTGGGGTCGAGCGAGGCTGGTGTGGGGACCAGAGTCCAAAGAACCACTTAGGGTGCAGGCTTGCCCACGGACGAGCCACCTCCCCGCCCAGCCTCCATTTCTTACCAGGAAATGGGATGGTAGCAGTGAGAACACCACCTGCTCACTGAGTAGTTATGAACGGGAGCGAGACAGGTTGTGCAGGGACAAACTGCCGCATGACTGCCCATGACCCTGGCAGCTGCAGCTGTTTCACTTAATCCTCAGAAGTGGGTGTTTCTTTATTTTAAAGACAAGGAAACTGAGGCTCAGAGTGGCTACCCAAGTCTGCAAAGATGTGAGGACCGAGCTTAGGGCTCAGGGTTTGTGGCTCCCAGGCTAGAGCTGGGGTGAGGGGTGTTCATGGGGTCTTCCTAGGAACACAGGGTCCAGGCGTGTGGGTAGACAAGTGTCGCTGGCAGGGCGAGGGCTGTGAAGAGGAGCACCCACCCCTTAGCACTGCCACGATTTCTGACTTTTCAAAGGGAGCCAAAAGTCTTTTTATACAAAATAATGAGTTTTATCTGTTACACTAAAACTGCTGTTCCTGAGGCCACTGCACAACAGCTGGCCTCTGTTCCCCTATGTCTCTGTCTCCAGGTGGGCCCCCCAACATGGGGGTAAGAGGGGCTCAGGGCAGAGTGCAGGGGAGGGCCAGGTGGAATTCCCTGGCTTCCAGACTGTAAATGGTTGGGCTCCCAGCTGGGGACTAAGCCGTCTCTCCTGGAGCTGCCTCCTTCTCCCCTGCCTCCCTGTCCCATTCTCAACCCGAGGAGGGGGTTCAGTCACTGGGTCCCCACCCAGCCATGACTCCCAGGAGAGGGCCTGATGTGTAGGGCGCGGGGCTTGGCTGGTGAGGTTAGCCCTGGCACGCTGAGGTACATTGTTTTTTGGGGCCAGGTTGATAGGAAGGAGAGCTGTGCTGCCCTTGGGGAAGTCCCAGTGTCAGGGGGCTCCTCAGGCTCTCGGGTTAACAGCCGAGGCAAAGCTTTCCTGCTCACTGCCCGGGTTTATCCTCTTGTCTGGTGCCAGCTCAGGGTTACTCTGTTTGGAAGGAGTTGGGCAGACGGGGGAGGTTGAAGGGGGTGCACAGTGAAGGGGAGGCGGAGGCCAGGGAGGTATTAGGGGTAATGGGATGTGGGAGGCCACACCTAGGATGTCAGCGGTTTCAGGACCCTGGGTCTCTTTCTGTTTTACAGATGGGGAAACTGATGCTGAAGGGGCAGAGCCTGACTATCTGCTCGCTCTTCTGCACTGAGCCTTGCCCAAGGTCTCGCAGCCCGGGGGCTGAGGAAGAGAGTGGGGAAAGTTAGGGAGAGAAAATGGGGAGATGGAATCAGCCCCGGTGTGCACTTAGTCCCCAGTCTTTCACTACATCCCTCCCCTTAGCCCTCCTCCCTCCCAAGTTCCCCAAACTGGGTGGGAATCCTTGTCTGGATGCCTTGGAGTCCAGGTTTGTGGAGGAGGTAAAAGGCATGGTTTATCCCCCAACATTCTTGCCTGAGAGAGGCAATAAGGCATTTATCAGGATGCCCTAGGATGAGGGGACTGTATTGGGGTCACCCCAGGGGTTCCATCTTTTGGGAAGGTGGGTGCCGGGAGAGAAGCCTGGAGGGTTTTCAGGCAGCTGAAGTGGGGAGAACCAGTGGGAAGGTCCAGAGCCGCAGGGAGGCTCTGCGTTGGCAGTCCACGCGTTGGTGGGAAGGCGGAATCCCGGCTGTGGGAGACAATCCCCCGGGTGCTCAAGGCTAAGCGAATAGGTATATGTGTGTGTGTGTGTGTGTGTGTGTGTGTGTGTGTGTGTGTGTGTGTGTGTGTGTGTGTGTATAGAGGGGTTGACACCTGTGGGGGGCTCGCAGAGCTGTGCTAAGGGGATGGGGGAGCGGCATCTGTACGGGGCCCAGCTCTGGGGCACCCAGGGCCATCAGAGCGCGTGGGGGCGGCGGGGGGCGGCGCTACCTGGAGGCGCGGTGGCGGGCAGGTGCCCGAACTGCACAGCGATGCAGAGGTCGTTGTCCAGGGGGAACTTGTGGCAATGCAGCATCTCGGGCCAGGGGAAGCCGTAGGCCTCCATGAGCGGCGCGCAGCCAGCGCGCACGGCCTCGCACAGCGAGCGGCACGGGTAGATGGGCTGGTCCAGGCAGACGGGCGCGAAGAGCGAGCAGAGGAAGACCTGCGTGTCCGAGTGGCAGCGCTTGGCCAGCAGCGGCAGCCAGCTGCTCGCCTGCTGCTTCACCTCGGCCAGGCTCTCGTGCTCCAGCAGGTTGGGCAGCCGCATGCGCTTGTAGCCCACGGTGTGGCAGAGCGGCAGGTCCGCGGGGATGTCGAGGCACTTCGGGGGCTTGGAGTACGAGCGCCCGTGCAGCGGCTCCGTCTGCCAGCCGTAGTAGTCGTACTCCTGCCCGCGCGCCGGCGCCCAGCGCAGCGCCCCCAGCAGCAGCGCCATCGCCGCGGCCCGCGCGCCCCCCGCCGCCGCCCGCATGGCTGCGCGGTCCCCGCTGCTCGGTGCGCGGCGCCCCCAGCTGCCCCCTGTGCTCCCGCCACCACGTTCCCCTCCAGACACGGCAGCCGGAGTCGTCGGAGTGGGTGGCCGTTTTCGCTCCCCGCCCGAGCGCACCAAGTGGGATCCTGGCGCCTCCCACCTCGGGGCTCCAGCCCGGCCTCGACGCGCGCCCCAGCCAATCTCAGGCCGTCGGGCCCCACCCCAAGGCGGCAGGGAGGCAGGGTGGAGCCCCATCGGCCCCTCCCACCCGCTCCCGCGCCTCCTGCCCAGAGTCCGCTCCTGCGCCCCTCTGCGGATCACCGGCTCGCCCCACGCCTCTTCTTGAGGCTCCCTCACTTCTCTCGACATTTTCCTCGCCCCTCGCCCTCGTCCTTCTTCCTCCTTATCACTCTTTGACTCAGCCTCTCCTGTTCCTTTTCTCACTCACTCCGCTTGCTTATCTCTCCGTCTGGGCCTTTCCCCCTCCACTCTGTTTTCTCTTCCCGACACCTCCGATCTCCCTTCTCCCAGCAGGAGGCTCCTGCCTGCCCACACCCTCCAGGTTCAGGCGGTCAGTTCTTGCCCTCTCGGTCCGCCAGCATTTTTTGAGCTCCTGCTTGGTGCTGGGCACCGGGCTGGCTGCTGGAGAGTCAGAGGTGGATGTGACGCAAAACCCATCTCCAGGAGCATCATAACGTAGTGGAGGCGAAGACTATGCCATAACTACTCTTCAGTGAGTTCTTCCTCAGCGCCAAAGTCACTGCACAGCACGTCACACCCTTATCAGCTACTATTTCTAATGATAGCCAGTACTGACGGGATCACTGCGGGCCAAGTCTGTTCGAAGCAGAGTGCATACATTACCTCATTTAATTTACCCAGCAACCGCTCTCAGGTGGGTAGGAACTATTAATAATCCCACTTTACAGATACAGGCATTGAATGGGGTTAAGAGAGGTTAAGTAAGCATCGGTGTGGGGATTTGAACCAGAGTCAGAGCCCAGATATAACCAGAGGTCTGGATTCTGAGTCTGAAGGCTTAATGGCTATGGAGGGCTAAGAGAGGGGACGTAACTGGTCCTTGGTGACATAGCTAATCGGTGAAGGATCCTGGATTCGAGTCCAGGTGTTGGACTCCAAGGGCCAGGACTTAACCACTCTGCCCTAAGATAAATCCCGCGCCAGGCGAGGAAACAGTGGGAGAATGTGCTTCCTCCGGGAGCTGGGAGGAGGAAGGAATTGAGGAGGCTGTCCAGGGAGGCATCAGAGAGGAGGCAACCTCATGAGCCTAAGTTTGGGGTCTTTTCCTTCTGTTTGGGTCCTGCCTTTCATTGGCTTTCCTGTGGGAGTTTTGGAGGAGAGGCTTGTGGGTGGGATGGCTTGGACTTGACCTCCCAGCCTTTGCTGGGGAGGGTACGCTGGGAGGTATCTTATAGGAGGGCTTGGGTGCTCTGGGGGCTGCCTCCGCTGGGAGGTGGGAGTGCTGGGGCGTTTGCCCCCCTCCACACCTGCTCTTATCCGCCCGGCCCCAGCCTCCCAGTTCTCCTGATGTTCCCAAGCCTCCTGGCTTCCCATGGGTCTGTCCTCGCAGCGGTAGTTGAGAGAGACAAAGGACCACGCTTCTTAATATTCACCACACACAGAGCACCTATACACAAAAGGGATGCAGAAATGCAGAAGACATAGGCTCTGCTTCCTCTGGTCTAGTTGTGAGAAGAAGACAAGGCAGAGGAAGCAGAAGAAAATGCAGCAGACGGAACCCGGGGTGGCACAGACTCCCTTTTGATGACCAGGATGACTCGGTTGGGTCCAGGAAGAACAAGCTGAGGGTATTTTCTCCCCCTATTCCCTTTCCCAATTCCCAGCAGGAATAGGTTCTGTGGATGACCCTGAGGAGGTGAAGGACTGGTCCCTGCAGGGTCAGACAACACAGTGTAGTAATGGTGCAAGAGTCCGAACTGCAGACAGAAAAAGTCAGGTTCAAATCCAAGTGCATACTCACTGAGTGACCTTGGGCAAGTACCTCGCCATTCGGACTCTCCATTTCCTTGTTTGTAAGCTGGGACCTCCTCAGCAGTTACGTGAGAGGCAAACAAAAGGATGCATGGAAAGAAAGCCCCCTACACAGTGCCAGCACATAATAGGCACCTAGGCATGTCAGATCTCCAAGGGATGGATGTGTAATTATAGGGTTAAATTCGGGGTGTGTTCTGAAAGCTCCCCCAGACACCTTGGCCCTGACTCTGGTTTGGGATTCTGCTCTCTGCACTCCAGGTCACCCCTAATCCCCCCCTCGGGCTGGCCCAGGCTTCTGCACTCCAGGGGAAGTGTGGCCCTGGGCACTGGGGGGGGGGGGGGCGGGGGGCGTGTTGGAGCTCCCCAGGTGGTTGTACAAGGTGCAGGCTCCTTGGGCAGCTGGTCATCTTGGAGTTCCAGTGCCTGGTCTGGACTGAGGGAGGCATTGTTCCTGCTGCTGGTTTAGTAAGAACTGCAGATGGTCCGAGAGCAGAGTGAGTCTGTACCTGGCAGCTCCAGGGGCTCTGAGGGCCAGAGAGGCCAGGCTGGACTCTGCCTTGGGGACCCTTAAGGCTTCTGGGCATCGAATCCATGATGAGATCCAGGAGGGAAGCTCTTCGCAAGAATGGTGCTCAGGTGGTGGCTGTGCCCTGGGGCGGTCACTCAGGGACGCTCTCCCTCTGAGGCCCCGCCATTTGGCTATCCTGGCTGTGCAGCCCGAGAAGGCAGGAGGCTGCACTGCAATGCGGTGGCGCCCCTTCCCCATGAAGCTGTTCCGGGGCCTAGGCAGCTGGGTGAAACACCTGGCGTGCTGGGCATCTATCTGTCCGTCTTAGAGTGTCTGCAGTCTGTCCAGGCACACATTTCCCCCAGCTGGTAGAGGGCATAGTTTGTTTAGAAGAATGCTTATTCATGGTCTGTTGTGAGCAAAGTCCTATATAGATACCTTGCAGATCCAACTTGGTTAATTATGTTATCAACTCCTCCAGTTTTCTACTTTTTTATTGCCTACTTCCGTGGTTCTCCCAGTGTAATCAGGATTCTTCTGAGGGTCCCCAAGTCCCTTTCAGGGAGTCTACAAGGTTAAAATAGTACATAATTCCAAGATCCACTCAAAGTACAAGATAGACCGATAGAGTTTAAGTTAACAGTAAGAAAAGTTCATTGATATGGATTCAGATTCTACATTACAACCAACATTTAAGGAACTGCCACATACCGTTTTTTTGGTAGTATTAAAGAAGAATATCCACAATATCTGAAAGTCTATTAAAATACTCTCCAACTACGTTTCTGTGTGAGGCCAAATTTTCTTCATATAGTTCAACCAAAACAGTATCTAACAACATATCGAGTGCAGAAGGAGATTTGAGAACCCGTTTTCAGTTAATCCACACATGAGAGAGATTTGCAAAAATGTAAAGCAAAGCCACTCCTCTCACTAATTTTTTTGTCTTGTAAAATGTAATTAGCTTTCACAAAATTTATGTTAGCATATAATGGGTTTATTATTGTCATTTAAAACAAATTAAATAAATTAAAATTTTTCTCCGTTTTAATTTTAAACATGGCAATTATTGATAGGTGCAAACCCATATAACCAAAAGCTCTTTAATCGAAAAACTTCCATAATTTTTAAGAGTGTAAAGGGGTCCTGAGACCAAAACGTTTAAGAATTGTTGGTTTATTTATTCTGTTCACTTCTGATAGAGGTGTATTAAATCTACTTTGATGATGAGTTTGTTAATTTTTCCCCTTTCCCTTTTGAATCAGTTTTATTTTGAAGTGATGTTGTAAGGAGCATAAAGTTTCATGATTATATGTCTGGTTGGATTGTAATTTCTATCTGTATGAAATAGCCTTCTTTGTTTTGTTTAAGGCTTTCGTCTTGGGAATAATAATTCTACAAACCAACATGTAACTAGAACCCGCTATGGGCAGGCATACAGTGAAAGTCTCCGTCCCTGTCCCCGTGGAGAGCATGAACACACCGAGGCGGCGTAGTGTAGCAGGAAGAGGCTGGGCTCAGAGTCGGACATACTGGTGGTGAATGGTGACCACTTCCTAGCAGCGTGTCCTTGGACATTTGTCTGTTGGACTTTGAACATTACTTTCTTCATCTGTAAAATGGGGTTAATAACACTTATTTACTTGGTGATAGTGAAAACGTACTGAGATAAGGGGTGAGAGAAGCACTCAGCGGAGTCCTTGGTGTCTGTGAAAAGTGATTCAACAGAGCCATGAGCCATGAGATCTGCCCCATTCGAGCCATGCAGAGCACCAGGAGAGGCAGTGTGGCAGTGGGGAGCGCACCCAGCTTGGATTCAGAAGATCTGAGTTGTGTTTTCAATTTAATAGCAAGGCCCCCCCCCCCCCCCCCCCGCCGCCACCTGAGTCTCGGTTTCCTCATCATAAAATGGGAGGACCACCTCTGACTCCCGTTCTCCATGAGGCTATCTGGAGAATCAAATGTGATAATGAAAAGGAAGGGGGTTGGGCTGATGATGGAGGTGAGGTTAACTGTCCTTGGCCTGAGGTGGGGAACCTCTTCCGTCTCCTGCTGTGAGGAGGTCCTGCCAGCATAGACTTGCCCACATCTGAAGAAGATTGTGTCAACCAATGGTCACTGGTGCAATCCAGCTCCAACAAGAAGCCCCAATTGGGGTGCAGTGAAGAAGGAAACTTTATTCAACACAAAACAGCTAAATTGTGATACAGCAAAGCTGTAGAACAACTCTGGGGCCAGGCCCCTCTCTGGCTAGATAGCTCTGCTCAGCCACCACCTGCTCTGTGCTGGTCTGCTTTACTCTGCTCTGGCTGGGAGAGCAGCCTGGATCTCTTCTTACGCTGAAAGGTGCTCCTGGAGCCACAGGGGAGCTGGCTTATATGACAGAAGTCCCCACCCTTGGTTCCTGATTGGTCTATCCTCATGCAAATTAGAAGTCCACATTTTTGCAGTTTGATTTGTCCAAAAGGCACTGTCCTGATTGGTCAGAATAGAGCCACTCTCCACTCTGATTGGTTAGAACTGCTCAGCTCTGATTGGATGGAGAAAGCCTCAATCCTATTGGTTGAAATTTATAAGGGCTGGCTCAGATGGCAATT